GTAGAAATTACTAAACTTGCACTGCTTTGAAATGAGCTTGTAAAGTAAAAGTGTTAGAATATAAATCTGTTTTGTTTCCAAAATTTGGGGAAATAGTTGAAATAGGACTTTGCTATCATATAGCACTTATTTTTATGCTGTTTCCTTTTGCTCATTCTCTCCCATTCAGAGATATATTGTATATAATGCCAAACCTATTTTGTATACTATACTGTCATTCATACGTGTTTGTATGGGGTTTATATGACAGGGCTGGGTTAATGAGTCAAACAGGTGTTGCAGGACTGTTTTTCAGGAGTAGAAAATTTAATGTACAACATTCTTCTAGATACTGTATCAAACAAAAACATGGCTGAAGGTTTTACTATGTCACAGCATTATCTGGAAGTCCCATTGTAAAAAAATCCAGCGTATTTGATGTGTTATTGAGAAATTGCAAATTATACCACCAACCCAACCCCATTATTAAGAAATAGAGATTTAGAAAGGAAGTGATTTTTTTAAAGTGATGACAGCATATTTTTGCCTATTTACAAATTAGAAAAAAAGATAAAGTAGTCCAACCACATTTAATAGCACCGTTAAAATCTTTTCACAGAATCCCTCAGGGATACTGATTCTAAGTTTGTTTTTTAAAAAAACTTTCTGTACAAAAGGTGAACTCAGAGGCACATCTCCAGTAGTTTGCACATAAATGCTGTTGCTACTCTTTGACATAAATGTTGTGCATTAAAATTCATTTACTCTCACCAAATCTACTCCATCACTTAAGATCTTTAAAGTACAGACTATACCTAAAGAAGCATTTTGAGTTTTCATTAAAATATGCATTTTAACCTGCCCATGTAACAGCTAATACTGGAAATCAACTGTAGAAAATACTTAAGACACCCACCCTAATTCTAAAAAAAAATAGTTCACATATAGAAATAAGCTGGGTCTTTTCAAGGAAGCAAATATTTGAGGTTCATGGGATATTTCTAATACTCTCAAGTGTTCTCTTAAAGAAGAAAAGTTGGTAATTCAAATTCTATAGATCTTTGTACAGTATGGAACATTTTTCTAATACATTCTTGGTTGGTATCGAACAATTTACATTGCATTACAAATTCAATCTGCCACAAAGGAATTTGAGAACAGAACATTAAAGCCCTGAAAGCTTTATGAAAGACATATTTCTAGCACAAAATCCAGTACTCGTTAGTTAAAAGTACAGAAAATAAAAGTGCCCAAAGATCGTATGCTTTATCAGAATCAGAAGCCATTGCTACTAAATCAGGGGTAGGCAACCTTGGCTCTTTTATGACTCATGGACTTCAGCTCCCAGAATTCTGGGAGTTGAAGTCCATGAGTCATAAAAGAGCCAAGGTTGCCTACCCCTGTACTAAATAGATTTTTTTAAAGAACAAGTAATTCTCCTTTGCAGCGATCACAACAGTTGAAAGTTATGTTCTCATATCTAGTATACGGATGAAATCGTCCAATATTTTTCTTTGGGGAAAGAAAAGATGCTGTTGAAGGCTCCGAAAAAGAAAGTTCTGATACTTCTGTACATTTGCCAGAATCCAGCATTCTTAATACCTGGAAAATAATAACAATGCATAGCAATGAATTGCAATGATTTCTTTTGCTAAAAATATTTATAACATGTTTATAACAATCTGAAATATCCAGATAAAGGGATATCTCATTTTTTTAAAGTTAGAAAGTTCAATTCCCATGCAAGAGAAAGGTTTATCTTGTATTGCCAATTTACTTTTTAGAGATAGTGTGGTATCTCTATAACAGGGGTGTCAAACTCGATTTCATTGAGGGCCGCATCAGCATTGCGGTTGCCCTCGGGGGCCGGGTGGGTGTGGTCAGGGTGGGTGCGGCCTATTGGGTGGGTGTGGATGGAGTGGATGTGGCCTACTGGGTGGGCATGGCCAGCTCTACATCGTTCGCGTCAAGGGTGCCTGTCGGGGCCTGGGCAGGAGTGGGACAGATCTGAGGGTCTCTGGAAGAAGGAGGTGGGACCGGGGCAAGCGCCAAGGCATGATCCATTTCTTCATTCCTCACAAAGGGTGACACTTCCCCAGCATGCACCCAGGGGGCGGGGCCGATGCGGCAGGGGCTGGTTCCTCACTGTTTCTAGACGGCCTTGTGGAGCTAAGACTGAATGCGTTTCAGCATAGATGGCCACCACAAAATTGTACATTGGCTCCTGGCCGGCCTGGGCCAGGGAGCGGGGACCGTTCCACTGTTTCCAGGATGGCTTCACGGGCCACATGAAATCACTTCGTGGGCCGCATCCGGCCCCCGGGCCTTGTGTTTGACATGTCTGCTCTATAAGATTATTTTATCCTGTACAGAATAAACAGTTTACTTCTTAAAGCTGTTTATTATCTTAAATATTAAAACCAGCAACTTGAATTGTGACCAGAAAACAGTGTATTATCTTAGTTTTAGATATCAGTATCACCTAGCGGTCACAATTAACACCAATTGAACTTTGCACAAACTCTTCAAAGGTGGTCTGTATTAACTGAACAATAATGCAGGAGATGCAATTATTATAATTTAGATACAATTAGTTTGGAAATGATTGCATCTGACATAAAAAGCATACATTCCTTTGCTGCTGGTCTGTGGACAACAAGCAGAAATGTAAACTTGTTTGCCCAGCATAAGCCAAACAATTCTCAGTTCAGATTCTCTATTAGCCTCAGCCATTGCAATTTAAACTACAATCATAGTTTAGATTATGTTCAAGGAAAAACTTCCTCAGGTCTTTGTATTAGCAATCTACTTTAGAAGTGGGCCACGACAGAGGTATAGCTCTAGGAATCAAATGTCGCCCTGCTCTAACCACCTCTGAGTTTGTATCTTGTCTTGCAAATGAATAGTAGAAAACTATTGCTATGAAGTACAGTAGAATACTAATACTATATAATAGAATACAAGGCTTGTTAAGTCATAGCATTTGTTATCATGCAATAAAAAGGACTGCTTTATGTTTCTAGAAAGTAAACTTGAAAATTTTAATGCACAACAGAATAGCATGCTATTGTGTAAAATAGTTTTTTTTTACCATTTCAGCCATTTTCTCAGCAGGGGTATTGCAGAGTTCTGTGGACGAAGAGCCATTTTTGGGACTGTTAGCAATACTAGAGTTTCCAAGTAGATGTAAAGTTACTGCTCTAGCAAGCTTATGATTTACAGCAGCCAATTCCACCGTACTATGAGGATGTGCACTAGGGTAGTATGTCTGCTGCCTTCCCCACTGTAGAGAAACCAGGAGCTCCTCTAATAGTCTGCATTGGAAAGAAATCAGTTTCAGTTACAAATGTTACAGACATAAGAAAATTCGGTGGGCTAAAGAAACAACAGGATAAACAGTCAAGGAGAAGAAGGGATAAAAAGAAAAGAGTGTTAAATTATTCAAGGGCAAAAATTGCTATTTATAGTTTTGCTAGTGATGCAAAGGAACAGATTATGTAGCTTCTGGTTAAGATTTTGGATGGGAAAATTAGTGTAAAGTTGAATTGTGGCCCTTGTAAAGCAGGGGAGACCGCAACAGGAAGGGCAAAAAACTACAGACTAACTGTGGATTATTTTCAAATGAGGTAAAAATAATTGGGGGGAAAAAATATTTCCCCTTGCATAGGTAGTTCTGCAGCTCACATCAGCCATGTGGGACAGAAATGTCACCCAACGAATGTGGACTGACCTATTCTCCATTTTCAAATTTTGTCCTCCACATAGAATAAAGTTTCTTACTTGTGGATGATTCTGAGAATAAAATGTAAGATAAACAGACTGTAGAAGAAAAATTTAAGCTATGCAAGCACCTAATAACTAGGGAAGGTAGATCTCTATTGTCACAGAGAATGATAGTTGCTCTATTACTGTATGGTCTGTGCTACTATGTACATTTTAAAGCAACGACACTGTTTTCAATTCTTTATATATCTGTCATTCTCTCTATAAAATATGCATGCATCTGTATACACTACTAAATATTTTGTGTTTGTTTTTCTATTTGTAACCTTCAATTAGGCAAAATGATGCATCATACCACAACAGTTTTCGAATCAAAGTTACTCAAATGGCCTAACTTACAAAATCTGGAATCCATCATTCTAGTGGGATTGAAATTTGCAAAAGTTGTGACTGTTTCAATGCTGCTCCTGTTGTACCAATCACAGTCACATGACTGTCATTTCCAACGGTCCCTGTCAGTTTCCCACAAGCAAAATCAGTGAGGAAGCTGGCAGAAAGATGCAAGTCCAAGGCCAGCAGGCAAGCAATTGACTGCTGAAGGAGCGAGGGCGTGTGTAAGGTGTGGCAATGGTTGGGGAAAGTGCATAAGAGGCACAGCAGGTCAGAGTAGGTGTGCGAGGGGGCACGGGCGTGTAGGTTGTTGCCATGGTATAAGCACAAAGGGACTTTGGGAGGATGCACAGGTGGGGGAGGACTTGTCAGCATTTTGCAACCTTCCTTGTTGGCTTCCCCATTGACTTTCTCTCTGCAAGCTTCCCAAAAACAAAGTTAGTGGGAAAGACAGCAAGAAGTTGAAAAGTATTCTTGCTCCCAGAAATAATGAACTGTAACAATGACACAACTGAAAATGATGACGCATCTGAAACAATGACTTGACTGAAACAATGACCTAATGCGTCATGGATAGATACTGTGTATATATATAAGCCTTGTTAATTGAGAACAGCTCTATATACATATGATCATTCTGATACAATTATTTCCCAACTGCATATTATTGTTTTCACTGTATTCAAAGTGTTTTAGACACTTACAATATTTGCCTGTATTTTACACATCGAACTTTTGATTATATAGAATTTTAATTCAATCTATGGAATTAGAAGTAAATCTTTAAATAAAGCAGATTATAACTAAGACTTATGCAATAATAAATATATAGGTATAACATTGTATTGTTTCTAAATATCAATAATCCAGAGTTGCTAAGTAAAATGGCTAAACTGGGATTTGAAAAATGTCTTTCACAAAAAATACACATATTCATACTTTTGTGCAGCAATCATTTCTTGGCGAAACTGATCACGTTCATTTAAAAGGTCCTGAATTGCACTGTGTGCATCTCTGGCCTGACGCTGGAGAACTGCTCTGGAGTTAGTCAACTCATCAGACATGACTCTGTAGAAGAAATTTCAGATATGTCCTAGTTAAAATTGATTCAACTAATTAATATGTGTTCCTATTGTACATTAGCAGTTAATTCAATGGTTGCATTTTCATGCTGCAACCTAAACAGATTATGTATATAATTTGGAATAAAGGGATAATACATCTTGAACAAATAAATGTGATATGAAGTACAAATTTCTTATGATTTCATTTTACTTTTTCCCAGGAGTACTATTATGAAATAACCCTGTAAAATATATTAC